TTTGTACACCATCAGCTTTGTGCCAATGGTAAGCTGATGGTTGTTCCACACTACGTATTCAAACTTCCCGAATGCCGCCGCTGTCTAAGACACGCGAATACGCAGCTCACTGTGAAGCTGCTGCTCAGTCGACGTCACATTTCCAAGGAAGCAGAAGTGGGAGGTGGTTTCCAATACTTCAGCACCAATGCTGATTCGCGGCAATATTGAAGATTGCACCTCCGGTGAAGGTTGAATGAGACAGGTTTTGCTTGTGTTGATGGTGAGCCCGAATTTGGCCTTTGTCGAAGGCAGAGCACTAGTCATTTGCTGCAACTCATCCGCGCTGTGTGAAAGCGACGCACAGTCGTCAGCAAAACAGCAACAAACAGATAGTTGTCTCACAGACTAGGGTTCTGGCACCGAAACGACGGATGTTCAGCAACCCACCATCAATGCAGTGTTCCACACGAACACAGTAAGCACAAGCGGCATCAAATGCACAAGACATCATGACATGAAGATTTATATTAAACAGAGCAGGAGCTAAGACACAGTCTTGCTTCACACCAGAGACAACTACAAAGTCATCTGAGGTCTCTGCACTCAACTGCACCCTCGCCCGCATACCACTGGGGTGACATTCAATTAAACTTGTAAACTTACGCGGGCAACCAAACTTACCCAACACCAGCCACAATGCCTCGCTGTTCACTGTATCAATTGTCTTGGTGAAAGCAACAAAAAGCGAGTACAATGGTTGGTATCATTCTCTGCACTTCTCCAGCCACTGACAAGCCGCAAAAACCATATATATATATATATATATATATATATATATATATATATATATATATAATCGGATTCACCTCTCACGACGGTCTCCATAGGACAGCTACAGGACGCTTGCACCTACAGATGGACCGTAGGTTACTTGCGCCGCACCACCGACAGATCCATCCACAAACTCCTTTTCCAGTGTAAACCCGAAGGAGCAAGACCGGGAGGTAAGTGACAGGGGATCACGTTCCATCAACGAAGCCGACACACATTCCTTCAACCTACACAGCAGCGGCATTACTGTCTATCTTATTTGGGAGTCATGCGTACCAGTCATAGACAAGGTAGTGGCAGGGCCGTAGCCCACTTCACGCTGGATGGAGTCACCCTTCGAACCAAACACCGCCCCGAGGACCGTGCATCCTTCCCTCCCAGCAACGTTTCAACGTCCCTTGGAAACAGTATAATTGAGGTGCAGGGTGTTAGACAGCTAGGCACCTTGTCAACATTCACATCAAGCGCAGTCACACCGGGGATATCAATCAACATACATCTGAAATACAAGAAATACAAAAGGCACAACTACGTACGGAGTAACTGCAGCGAAGAGGTAGCACGTGTACCGCGTCGACCGCAGTATTGGCCTGAGTTAGTATATAGAATTGGAAACAGGGTAAGTACAAAGTGCTGCGCTGGTGCCGAGTATCACTTCAATTGACTCGTTGCCTCTTCCATGCTGGACGCAGGTGGCCACGATGGTAGTTTACTAAGCAGGCTTGGCTCAGGCACTTGTGAGCGTATGTGCTACAGCACAATGCGCTCGGCATCAAGGGGGTAGACTCCATTGACACCTGTCGCCCCCTCAACCGACGTTTCTCTTTCGTATGCGATAGTGATTCCTCATGCATCTGCGCAACCGCCCTCTCGCCATGCGCGACGATCCATTAACTTTAATTCTCAACACTTGAAATAAACGCTGTTTCGTAATTAACTCACCTTGATCATACCCTGTTAACGAAACTTCGTCTTTCCCACTGCCGCTTTCCTGCACTAAGGTATCCATCTAACAGCTGCTTTGATATTCTCTTCGAATTCATTCGGCTGATACGTCCCAGCCTTCGCAGGTGCCGCAGCAAAAGCATACAGTCCACCGCATCCATGTCAGTGGTAGGCTGCACCTCCTTGTCTGCAGCTCGGTCAACCCAAAAGATGCGCAAAACACGACGCAGGCACTGTTGATGGAAGCGCCCCATATAACGAACGTAGTTCAATACATCGTTGAAGTTTCACTGCCGTATGGAAGAACGCACAGTACCCTCGACCTGTATAGCATCAGCTTCGTCCAAACGGCAAGCTAGCGATTGTTCCGCGCAAGTCTTTCCGGCTTTCGAAATATGACAGCCGCTTTAGACACGCGGATGAGCAGCTCCCTTGTCATCTGAGGTCGGTGGATATTACGCTCCCGAAATAGCATAACCACGATTCTGGCCTTAATACATTGTCAGCAACCTGGATTCGCGGCTGGTTCAAGGAATCCATCTCTGGTGAAAGGTGAAAAAGACAAACAGTCTTGCGTGTATTGATAGTGAGCCAAAATTCGCCTCTGTTGGAGTAAAGAGCATTAGTCATGTGTTGCAACTCATCTGCACTGTGCACAAACAACGCATAGTCGTCATAAAACAGCAATATACGGATAGTTAACTCAAAAATTAAGGTTCTCGCACCGAAACGACGGATGTTCAGCAACCCACCATCAATACGGTGCTTCACACGGACACCGTAAGCACAAGCCGCATCAAAAACACAAGACATCATTACGTAAAGGTAAAGATTAAACAAAACAAGAGCTAAGACGCAGCCTTGCTTCACACCAGAGATAACTGCAAACTCATCTGAGGTCTCTCCACTCAGCTGCACTATCGTCCGCATACCACATTGCAGATATCCAATTAAACAAACTTACTCTGACAGCCAGACCTACCCAACACCAGCCACAATGCGTCACCGTTCACCGTAGCGAATGCTTTCGTGAAGTCAACAAACAGTGAGTACAACGTCTAGTGTCGTTCTCTACACTTCTCCTGCATATGACGAGCCGCAAACACCCTATCTATGGTGCTGCGACCCGAATGTAATCCACATTGCTCTTCCGCCTTGTTCAGTTCCACAACCTGACTGAAGATGCGGTTGAGCAGGATTCAGCCAATCTCCTTGCCTACTCCACTCAGCAAGCTGATGCCACGATAATTCGTGCAAGATTGCTTGCTCCTTCTGCTTTTGTACAGCGGTAGTAAATGGGCATTCTCCAAGTCAACCTGTAGTTCCTCTCCACTCCAAACATCTTGCAGCAAGTTGTGCAACGCATGAATCAATGCGGGTCCGCCGTTTTCAACACTTCTGCCGGTATCTTGTCGGGTAGGGCACACTTGCCGTTACCCAGCTGAATAAATGTTCTCTGCGTCTTAAGCGATGCCGATATGTCGACAAGACAAATAATCACCTCTTGTTGTTTCAGCCCGTGCAACGTAGGCCAGTCAGTTTCTGACTGGTTGTTCAAGAAACATATGAAGTGCTTTTGCGCGATTTGCATTATGTCTGCAGTCTAGGTACGCAACGCCAGATGTAGCATAGAGCAGCGTCAGGATCGGCTGCAAGATGGGTCCATACATGGTCTCCAGAGAGTCAAAGAACTCATTGTGTTGGCGATGTTCCGCATAGCATTCAAAGAGTTTTGCCTTTTCCGCTCACCAAAACTTCTGCATATGACAAAGCTCTCGAGTCAGCTGGCGTCAAAGTTTGCGAAAACGATTCTTCTTCTTTGAGTCAGAAGGGTCCGCTACGTGTGCATGGAATGTTGAATTCTTCTCCTACACCAATGTGCCCATAGTTGCACTGTTGTCGTCTAACAAATCGGACTGCCTACAGTTTGCGCACCCGACGTCTCAAAGGCTGTAGCCATCAACTTTTCTTGGATGTGGCATCACAGGTCACCAACTACTGCGAAGCACTCGACATTGCCAAGCCGGGTAACTATCGCCTTCTCCAGCTTCATCCTCTTCTGAACAGTAATGAGAGAAACAACTTAGAATTGTGCAGCTGATTCACAACAGTAGTGAAGCACATAATTTTACGAAAATATATGTACAAGTTAGTCCACGTTAACTTATGATCTGTACCACATTCAGCGCTACGCAGTACACGTGTCATGCAAACTTCATAAATGTCACACTGGCGTACGATGACATAGTCGAGCAGATAAGCGTAACCACTCCGTGGGCGCATCCACACACCCAGGCAGTGCAAACTCCGTGTCCGTGATGGTTAGGCCGTGGGTTGCGCGCAGTGAGCAGCCAGTCACCGTTCCCGTTCGCTGAGCGGACACCGTACGGACCGATAACATCAGACCACACCGATGCATCACGCCCAACGAGCGTTGAAATTAGCCAATAGGAATAACCGCTTGCACCTCGGCACAGACCGTATCACGCAGGGAAACCAAGTTTAAAACTGATCACTCGTGTCATCTGGATAACACATGGTAAGGCCATACATGCTAATAAAAGTGGCAAATTTTACCTCTTCCAATTTGTTGGCGTAGGGTCATCAATCGTGGGCCGATGACAGTCAGCACTACGACTAGCTGGCCATTCTGGCAGTCGGAAAGTGAAAATCCGAATCCATGTTCACGTGGCGCTCTGGTGTCATTTCCCACTCAGTAGTATATGTACCCAGAACCAGACTCATGCAGCTTTCCTTGCTCTTCCAGCTGAATCACACTGAGCGCGACAATGACAATGCCGTTGCGCTCGAGTTCCATCAACACCAGAACACTGCGTCGCATAGGGCGTTCACTCGAGTTCCGGCCGAGTAATTATCGAACGTACCTGCAGTTGATGCTTTGCGCAGAGGCTTGCGATTGTGTTTGGCAATCCCTCACGCGGTGACCTGGATTAGAGGGAATCGGAGATAAGTTGAAATGCGGAGGGGGAGAGTATGTGCAAGGGAAGAAGAAAGAACGGAGAGGTCAGCGGTTGCATGTTTCCGCTAATGCATCTTGCTTTAGGTAGCAGATATTGCGACCACTCTCCTAATGCCACTACGCTACGGCGAATGCAACATGCAATTATCTGTATTGACGTAATTCTTGGTTAGTAGTTGGACCAAGGTACTACCAGCGTGCCCAGATGTGCACGATGAAAGACTCTGGTCATCAACCGAGTTCGCTGAGGTGTCATAATCTCATGGTCTTCCACGTACCAGAGTCAAAGGATGAAAACCCTCAGATACGTTATGCTCGCGAGTTTGAGTTCTTCCAGAGGCTCATCGGCAGACGCTTGAATGTGGGTGAAGACAGTGTGACGATTAAACAAGTAATCCGACTTGGAAAGAAGTCTAAGCAGTCATATCGACGTCTGAGAATCAACTTTGCAAATCACAATATGCCGCAGCTCATACTGTCTCGTCTGCCAAGGCTGAAAGGCATAAAAGTTCACATCCGCCGAGACTTGGAACCCGAAGACAGGGGTCATTTAAAGACTGCGGTCATTGAGCTCAAACGCCGCACAGAAAATGGTGAGACTGACTTATAAATTGTAAATTTTCGGGTTATCAGGGAGGGTATACGAACCCGTATCAACCGGTTGTTCAATCTCCAGGCACGTCCCGCAGTACCTTCCAGAACCTCCGCATGGCATTTGCCAACATGTGCAGCCTAACGAACAAAAGCGACGAACTGTGCCGCTTCGCTGTCTGGGAGCGGCCGGACGTTGTAGGACTTGCGGAGACTTGGTTGAACTCCGACGTCATACCCCAAGGAGTCGCTTTGTCAGGATACTCTTGTTGCCGATGCGACCGAAAATCAAAGGCATGCGGTGGTGTTCTGTTATGCACAAAATCGTCACTTTCTGGCAAACTTACCAGAACCTGTAGGAGCGAGGATAATTTATGCGACCAATTGTGGTGTACAATCCGCCCTAGACGCGCAGAACTAATAGTGGATGTTATCTAGCGTAGCCCATTAAACCGTTGTTGCGATTGGCTACAACATGCACAGAAGCACATGAGCCGCCTTCAGTTCTTACTCATGGGGGATCTAAATTTGCGTAAGACATTCTGGCCAGACGTTCGGCTCCTTCCCGGGCATGGCAACCTTGAGGCTCAATTCGCTAAAATGACTATTGAAACCGGGGCAACACAACATGTCATCAAACCGACGCGTGCAACTCCGCACTCGGCATCTTGTCTGGACCTAATGTTTACGAGCTGCGAGCAGAAGCTGTACAAGATCAGAGTTTTCTAACCTCTGGCCAACAGTGACCACTGCTTCACTGTAGCAAGCATAGAAGTGTCGTTACCGTATTACAACCGAAGGAAGCCGACATTCAACTTTTGGAAGACGGACTTCAACCTGCTCATCCAAGCCGCAACTCAGATTGACTGGACACTGCCAGAGGATGCGTCGCTTGAGGCCTGTTGGTCATTAATGAAGAGGAAGCGTAACACGATGTGTACTCGGTTCCTTCCCCTGAAGTATTCAAAAATCGAACCTGTCAAACCGCATTGATTTGATACGGAATCTAGACAGTTAGCGCGAAGGCGTCGCAAACTTTGGGACAGATCATCAGCTCGGATTGTGATAAATATTCACACGGTGTACAAAAAACAGTGAAACTTATGTAACGCCGCAGAAATCAGGAAACGCCGGCAGTTCGCAGAGAAGCCAGCCTCCTCGGTCACAACTGCACCCAAAAAAATATCTGCCTACTTGCAACGTCAATTGAAACCTGGGGGCGAGCTACCGGTCTTAGACCATTGACGGACAGACGTCCCTTTCAAGTGCGGAGCGCGTGGACGCCTTGGTTACGCACTTCCTCATCGTAATTTCCAGTAAACGGGCGGCAGTTCCAGTACCGGCGTAGGTAGCACCAGTCTTGTTTGACAGCCTACATTCTGATGCAGTCGAAATGTACCAGCTACTTGTCAATCTCGATGGCGCAGAGCCCCCCGTACCAGACGGGCTTCACCCACTAATACTCAATTCCCTATCGCTTATCATCTCACCAGCCGTGACAAACATATTCAATAAATCACTCTCTGAAGCATCTGGCCTTAACGATTGGAAATACTCGATGGTGAGACCGCTTCCCAAGGGTGGTGATCCGAGTAAAATAGAGAACTGTAGGCCGATCTGTTTGACTTCGATATTATCCAAAGTTCTCGAGAAGGTTGTGAAAAGGTCTCTGCTGTCGTTCTTCGAATCAACGGACATATTGACGCCAGCGCAACGTGACTTTACGAAAGCGCGATCATGCATCACCAACGTAATGTACGCAAAACACCAGTGGATACTACCTCTCAACGAACGGATGGATGTGGACGTGGTGTACATCGAGTTTGGTAAGATGTTTGACAGAGTGAACCACGAGGTGCTCCTTTGTGAACTGAGGGCCTACGCAATTGATGGCACGATACTTCAGTGGTTACACGAGTTTATTATAGGGTGAAAGTCTAGAGTACAGATCAATGACTAGCTGACAGACTGATTTCCATCGAACAGTGGCGCGCTTCAAGGAACTTTACTTGGGCCAGTATTATTTCTTATTCGTATCAACGATCTTCCGCAGCAGCTACAGTCACCATGTGCCCTATTTGCAGATGATTTGAAAATCTGGAGGATCATTAAGAACCAGGGCGACTGCGCTCGCCTACAGCATGACATAGAGAGTCAACGTGGTCCACTGAAATGCACCTCCCTCTTAACGCAAGCAAGTCGGATTACATCAGTATCACCAGACGTCCAGCTACTCGAGCATACACTTTATACGGCCAGTTGCTCCACCCTAACACATCTGTAAGAGACTTAGGATGAAAATATTTGGGTGTTGCTCTTCCAAATACTGGCACACCACGACCGCGGTTTCGTCCTGGTTTGGACTCGTCAGGTGGAGATAGCCTGAGCTGGAGTGGAACTCAGGGCTTAGTAGTTCACGGCTGACCCCCTGAAAGCTATGCTAATGATAGCTGTTAAACTGTTCGCTGAGCTTGGCACTTAGGTTGCAAATGTTTTGTCATCAATCGAGGTGACATCATCAGTGCGTAGTTGAGTGGCGTGCCATAGCGTAGAGGAGCGTCGGTGAGAGGCTTCTCCGAAGAAACCGTCCCTCGTCTATTCACCTCACTCATTAAACCAATCCTTGAATACGGTGCCCCAGTTTACCATCCGATAACCCAGTGGGAAACTGAGAAGCTGGAGAAAATACAGCGTATCGCAACTAGGATGATACCGAGTCTACGAAAACTTCCGTATGAAAAACGTTGCGAAAGGCTCGGACTCTACACACGATCCTACCGCCGAGTAAGAATTGACCATATTATGACCCACCAGCGCGAACCCTGTAACACCCGAGGACACCGTTATAAACTCCGGGTCATCTGCATGAATAAGGCATCACATCAGCTTTGTACAGAACGAAGAATCGTAAACTTACGGAATACACTACCAGAAGGATTATTAAATGCCGATTCTGTGAAATGTTTTAACACAGGTATAGACCGTTATTTCGGAAACCTGTGCTTTTGTGAAATGATGTAAATTTTGATCATACCTGAGTTGGTATGGCTCAATGAACTCAAGAATAAAATATTTATTTATCTATTTATGTACGTACAAGCCAAAAGAAGACATCGTATACCCGGGAATAATGACACCAATACGAATTCTTAGCCGAACAAGGGTAAACGATTAACTGTCCGAACACTACCGCTGACGATTAGCAATTAACTGTTTTTTGCTTTTTCATACTTTAATATAGTTGTACAGAAATAGTTCTACTTGCTCTTAACTACAGTCTGTCTCAACCAAACGACGAAATTTACCCCCACAACTCAGCGGGCCATGCACCATGAGTCAGTGAACAGACTCACGCGGAATTGTGTGTGCCCTGGCTTTTAGCTGGAAGAAGGGTGCAACCTGACTCCCACCCGGTGGTCACAAAGAACAGGCGTCCAGGACTTGAGTCTACTGCAACAAATTAGCAGCAGCGGGTCGACGATCTGTCAGGGTCTGGCCACTTCAATCCTCTGCGAGCCATGGACCTCACGCCGCTGAGGCTTGCGGTGGCTAAATCCTGACAGACCATCGACCCACTGTTGGTAATGTTGTGCCATGAGCTCATGTCCTGGACGCCACCTCGTGGCGACCGCTGGGTGGGTTGCGTTACGCCCTTCTCCCTGCTAAGGTCCATGACAAGAATCTGCACGAGGCAGTGAAATGACCATGTGTACATTTAATCGAAGGCTTTGGCTGTGGACCCGAGTGGTTCTCCTGTTACGTGTGGACCTCCTGCCAGTATCATAGTCTATCCTCTTCGGAGGTTAGGAAGTGCTCGATGGACCATTTCCCTTAAAACCTAGCCATGGGAGACAACAGGTCCACACTCGATCGGTGTAGAGCACGAGCGCGACGCACTGTCTATGACGGTGGGAGGGCACCTTCGAGGGCTCAACAGTTTACTACTGTGCGCCTCAAGCCACAGCGTCCCTAGTCAAATTGGTGCAAACCCGACAAAACCCTGCTGTGTCTGGCCTTGGTCGCATGTGCGTATCTTACTACGGTCGCAAAACACAAATGGATTGTTCCAGAACTTCAAATGCTGCGTGTGACGGACCTCAAGCAGATTCCAATCTGGCTCCGAAATCGCAATCCAGAGCTGGATCTATTCCACACTGCCTTGTAGGTCAGACCATTGAGTCAAAAGCTCTTGGCGCAGTCCCTCAAGCAAACCTCCAAACCACACGCTGCCTTGTGCATCAGTCTATTGAGCCACAGTCTCCGAGCGGAATCCCTCAAGCAAACGTCCGAAGCCCAACGACCACCACGCGTGTGGTTGCCCACCAATGCAGTCGAATGCCTCCGCACAAGGTACTCAATATCAAGTCCTGGAACGTGTGCACACTATTCGACCAGAAATCAAGTGGGGGCCGCAGCGAAACACTGCAGTTGTCCCGAAGGAACTGACGAGTGACAGCATCGTTATTGCGGCGTACAGTGAGACCCGGCGCGCTGAGCAAGGTAAGTTGCATGAAGCAGGTGCTGGCTACACCTTCTACTGAGTGAGAAACGCCACCTCAGCACCACGTGAACATTGGGTCGGATTTGCAGGATCCGATCGCGTAAATGGCCAGCTCGTGGGTGAGCCGACTGGTATCAGCGCTCGACTGATGACTGTTCGCCTGCGACTCGGCTGAGGTAAGTTTGCCACTTTTATAAGCACGTACCGTCCGACCATGTGTTATACTGATGACATGTGCGATTGATTCCACACTTAGCTACCCTCCGTGATACGGTCTGTGCCGAGGAGCGACCGACTATTTCTGCTGGGTGATTTTAACGCGGGCATTGTGCGTGATGCATCAGTGTGGACATGTGTTATCGGTCCGCACGGTATTGGTTCAGCGAATGCGAACGGTGACGCGCTACTCTCACTATGTGCCACTCACGGCCTGATGATCACAAACACTCGGTTTGAGCTCAGTGCGAGTGATATAGCAACTTGGATGCACCCACGGAGTGGTCACGCTCACCTGCTCG